AATTCTAAAATAAACTGGGAGTCAATAAAGAGAATAAAATGTCAGCTTGCTTGCTTGCTAGAGTCTGTTAAGAGTCTGACCGTAGCATTTTGTGTTGCTTGGAGACATGGCTGAGATTTATCTGCTATAATCTAGGTGCACTGACACAAAAGCCTTTTTTGACTATAATTCACAATTTTGAAATATTCCTTAAATAAAAGAAACAGAAAAGTGAAAACTCACTGGTTTGGGATAAACAGTCAACTAGGGTGTATAGCCTATGCAGCTGGTGAGGCTTAAAAGACACATACAGTTGAATGTCATTAGCATAGAAATGCTAAAAAACGGCAGGCGCAAAGATTAAATGATACCTACTTAAGGAAACATGTAAAATCAGAATAACAGTGGACCCAGGATTGAACCTTGTGGAGGTTAAACAAGCAATCTAAGAGGAGAAGGTGTACGCACGAACAAAATGTCCTTCTAGAGCAGGGGTGGGGAACTCCAGGCCTAAAGGGCCGATGTCCTGCAGGTTTTAGATGCGTCCTTGATCCAACACAGCTGATTTAAATGGCTAAATCACCTCCTCAACATGTGTTGAAGTTCTCCAGAGCCCTGTCATTTAATTCAGATGTGTTGACCCAGGGTGATATCTAAAACCTGCAGGACACCAACCCTTGAGGCCTGGAGTTCCCCACCCCTGATCTAGAAGAAAAGGAGGATGATGAATCTACTGATTATTCAGAGATAGAAGCCAAAATCTTGAATAGTAATCAATAGCATCAAAGACAGCACTAAATTCAAGCGGTATGAGTACAGAACAATTTCCTACATTAGGTGCCATTAGAAGATCATTGTAGACGTTTAAAAGAGCAGTTTCAGTTACATACTGGCATTGAAGTGTATGATGGTTAATATACAGCAAATATAAGAGGGTAGGCCACCCATCGATCACCATGTATGAATTTTTAATGTAATCAATCTTTTCAGGCTTTACCATAACTACAGTCCAGCTCTTCAGCCAAATACCCACGTCCCACCATGGCTATCATCGGTGCTGGCTTTGATGACCATTCCTTTAGCAGTGATGAGAGTTACAACCACCTCTTCATAGACACAGAGAACACTGTAGTCAAAGGCTTGTACTACCAGCGTGTTCAGCTGCTCCGTGGGCGTGATGCCTCTTGGTTTGTGGATCCTTCCTTGCGGGCCCTCATCAATGTGGGAGGTATCCAGTATGCTTTTCCCTGGAGTACTTTGGAAGATTTCCCCCAGAGTCGCCTGAGTCACCTCCACTCCTGCACCACCCTGAGAGAGATAGCAGAGTTTTGCGATGACTACGACCCCTTGTGTCATGAATTTTTCTTTGATCGAGACCCTTTAGCCTTTCAAGTGATCTTCAACTTCCTGGGACGTGGGAAGCTCCGCGTGCTGCAGGATGTCTGCAATGTAGCTCTGCATACTGAGCTGCTGTACTGGGGCATGGATGTAGGACAGATGGCACCCTGCTGCCACCACCGCATGATGTGCTCTGTGGATGAGGTGATGCAGCACCAGCTCAAGGAGGAAGAGTGGAGGGAGAGGAGAAGAGTGATGAGAGCAAATGCAGAGCAGGGAAGCTTCTTCCACAAGCTGGGAGAAGCAGTGGAGAACCCCCACTCTGGTTTTGCAGGCAAAGTGTTTGCCTTCATATCTGTCATGATGGTTGTGGTCACTGTAGTCAGCCTGTGCATCAGCACCATGCCAGACCACCAGCAGCAAGAATCTATGGTATGTACCAACCAAAGCAATGGTGTGCACAACCATGTATTTTTTTTAACTTCAAATATGAAATGAGAGTTTGCACTGTGGCACAGTTTATGATAAATAAGGGTCATTTTGAACTGTGAATCATGCAAAGCTACTCTTTAAAGCCCCATTTAAAGCTCACAGACTGTCGCTGTACATATTGGTATTATCTGCATTTTACCAGCCCCGGTACACTAGGTATTAAGTTTGAACTGCAATATTCTAGTGTATTGCTTGTATTGCAATACTATAGCTTAATGCTTCAGTCGGAGTGGAAGCATATTTTTTTGTTAGTATTGGCCACTTTGGCCAGTGGGGTCATTTTAAGGGAACAAGTCTTAATGTGGAGGCAGCTGTGGCTCAGGACGTA